TATATATGTATATATATATATATATATATATATGTGTGTGTGTGTGTGTGTCTGTGTGTCTGTGTGTCTGTATGCGTGTGTGTGCGTGCGCCTGCTTTTATGTATGTGTTTGTGAGTCTCTGTGTTCGTGCGGACATGCGTTGGAGTGTACATTATATAACTCATATACATATATTCAATAAACTAAAAAAATACTCCATAAACATAACCACCGTTAATTAATACAAAAACCTTTAACTAATTCCCTAATCATAACCAATTAATAATACTCAGTTAAAACCCTAACACATTACTTTGTCTGTAAAGCACTAATTAATATATTAAAAATAATGCACAGACACACGTGTAGATGTGTTTGTGTGCACGTGTTTGCAGATGCATATGTGTATGTATATACAAGTATATATATATATATATATATGTATATATACAAGTTTCGTCAAGACAAGACGCTGTGATTAAGCTTCTTTTTTTCTTGTGTTCATACAAGTGTCTTTCTTCTGCGCATAAATGTCTGTCCAAAATTCTGTATATGCAAGTGCTTTCGGCTATTCATTTAGCCATTAGCAAAGAGAATTGTTATTTGTATTTTTAACTGAATGCCCATATTTTTTTTATTATGTATATAGAACTGTTTCAAACATGGTCATCACATTGCGGCCGTGTTCGTGGTTAATATTGTTGAATGTTGGCTTTTACTTTTTTATTATTAGTACTTCCATTATATTTTTAATCTTTTTACAGGTGATGAGGTTATTATCCTTGTATTTTCTACTGGTATCTTGCGGATGGAGATTTGTAGGTTTCCCTGTGTGTTTAAATGAGTCCTTAATAAGTTGTAGTCGGATAAGTGTAACATTAGTCATTTAGATAGTTATGTAATGGCAAGAAATTCTAGGACCTAAAATTTAAGAGTGAATGCCCATTTCGGTCTAAAATATTATACAAATAAAATTGATATCTCTCTCTATATATATATATATATATATATATATATATATATATATATATATATATATATGTGTGTGTGTGTGTGTGTGTGTGTGTGTGTGTATATATGCATATGTGTATATATATATATATATATATATATACCCAGATAGATAGATAGATAGATAGATAGATCTTCTGGTCACCAGAATATTGCGAAAACGGCAAAGCTTTTTGATGTTTGTCGCTGTGAAGTATTAGGGGCTCTTTATGTATTGACAAGGCATTGAGCACTTTTATTTTCTGCATAATTAGGTGTTTCCTTTTGCTCCTTTCTTTCTTTCTTTAATTCCTTTCTTGTCTAAATTTTGTCCACCACTTTTATGCTTTTTGACAGGTATTCTGTTTTATATATATATATATATATATATATATATGTGTGTGTGTGTGTGTGTGTGTACACGTGTGTGTCTGTGTCTCTGTATGTCGACAGCTTGTTTTCATTGAGACATGTTTCATGGAAAAATTTAGATAAGTTTTGCCTAGTATTTTTTTTTTTTAATGCATCCTTTGATATTCACGGGCAAGCTTTTTGTTGTCATTATGAAAGGAAGAGGGAAACCCACCGTGCTCTTTCGGCATACCACAATGTCATAATCACAGTACTGTTTATTTCGAGACAAATATTGTAGTATTTGCCATTTTCAAAGACAAAATTGTTGCGTTCATCTGACAGTTAATTCTTTTTTACTCGTGAATTGAAGAACGCTGAGTGATTACTGTGACTGTCTTGACGAGCGCTTCAGTGAAGGTAACTAAGTATGATTTTGACGAAGACTTTTGCTGAGTGTTCTTTTTTGATATATATATATATATATATATATATATATATATATATATATATATATATATATAATTATTTATATATTTTTTATGGTACTTATTAGAAAGCTCTCAATATGAGAGATAGAGCTAACATATTTATGATCAGGTCACAAACACCAATCCAACTAAATATATATATAATATATATATATATATATATATATATATATATATATAAGAACAATAATAGCAAAATATATTAAAAGCCCATTCATAACAAAGAAAGAGAAATTCCATAACAATAAAGAGTGTGATATATATATATATATATATATATATATATATATATATTATCAGCTAAACGGTTTTAACTGGTTTTCATCGTTATATTTCAGTATTGCCAATTTATGTTAATATATGTTTTTGTTGACCCTATTTTTATGAATTACGTTTTGATATGTCTGATTAATTGTTCTTATAAAAACGTAAATGTTTATTTCACCTCTATATATCTCCTTCAGACACTGCATATATATATATATATATATATATATATATAGATAGATAGATAGATAGATAGATAGATAGATAGATAGATTTATTTTATCAATTAAAAATAAGAGAGTCAGTTTTATAATTCTTGTTCTTATTTTTAATCGCAGAAATATTCCAATATTAATCAGAGCGGAAATTTCCTTTGGTCAGTTTTACCTCTTTACCTCAGAAATACAGTTGATTACAACGATACAGTAACGTCGCCATTACTTAATATACCCCCAATCCAAATACCATTTATCTCCTTGTTGCACGAAATTTCCCTGTTAGCTAAGTTCTCAACATCAGAATTTGTTATTGGTGAAACATGAAGTTTCCGTAGAAAAATTACGAACCTCTCTTTAAAATTCAGATAGAACCTAAATATTTAATCGGGAAAAGAATTGCATACACTTTCCTGTTTGTCTTTTCATTCGTAAAGTACGACTGAAAAAAGTCCTAGATATTTCGGCTCAAACATTATGGGGACAACATAGACAATATAATGAATTTGTCGGACTATTGAACGCAGATTTACCCCTCAACCTCCAAAAAATGCGCCGAAAATATTACCCTGCTTTCAATGCAGCAATATCATGTGTTGGAGGAATATGAAGACCACGAAGTGTGGTTCACCAGGAAACAGGGTATGCATAGGGCTCAGCTCTAAAACTAGGTCACCTGGAAGTGAACAAATATATCAATAAAATCGTGCCTGAAAAAATCACTCATGGAAATGAACTTAAGACATTCATAGAATTGTACAATATTTTGCTCCTTGTTTTGTAGAAATATCAGATTTTACAGAAATATTTGCTTTGATTGGTATATTGCTGCTTGCTTTGTGTGGAATTTTGTTGATATACAATTATTGGAATTTGCTTTTCAGCATTTCAGTATAGGACTTCATTTTCCAACATGTTCCATATTTCTGTTTTTAAACTATTACCACATATACCAGTGTTGACTCATATCTATAGACTTCTTTGTAGCTATTATGAATTTACTATGTATGTGCAGATGTTGTTCCCTAAAAAAAAACTAAAACAATTTTCAATAAATGCATGATGAAATGTAGCAAAATTCTTCTTTTCCAAAAAAATGTCCTGGTAATTAAACCTTATCTCACTTATTTACAAAAAAGTACCAGTATTATAATTTGTATTAATATTGTAAGTTAATGGTTAGTGAAAATGTCAGGTAATGGTAAGGTATGACTTTAATCGTTCTGTTTCCATTTTTTTCTAAATATACCAGGTCAAATTCAACGTGTGGGTGCGTCCAACAGACCAGCAAATACGATAATCTAAATATCCGAATATTTTTTGGAATTAGAATAAATCTTATCACAATAAGCGCCAAGTACATTTATTTATAATTATTCTAAAAGCGGTCTGCACAAAATACGGCCCACATGCAACATGTCGTCCGTGGGGCAACCCAGAGAAGCTAGCAAGATAATAATCTGTATTTTCTGGTCTTCAGAATATAGTCGGTGAAAGATCCCATACGGAAAACTCACTCCACTGTCTTTGTATCTAATTAATAATTTTAACACCTCGTACAAAATGAGAAATAAATCATTATATCGCTATCCATCCATGTATTTATAAATGTTTCTACCTTTCATTTACTGATTAATTTATTTTAAATTTTACTCTTGCTGTTCGCGGCTAACTTTCTACGATCGATAGGATTATTCGTAATTTTATTCAATTCTGCAGCTTTGTTCTAAAACAATGATTTCCAACGTGAGGTGCGTGGTAATATTTTGGTGAGGCATGCGTAGGATGTGCACCCTTCAGCTTACTATACCAACAGAATAAGGGGGCAATTCGAGAATGAGTTATTAACAGTGAATTGTTTTCTAGTTAGCCTGAATGAGTGTGTTAATCTTAATGTGTGTTAATACATACGGTGCATATACAGTATGAATACATAAAAATAGTTTGTATGTACATGCGTATATGTGTAATTTATATACATGTAAGAATTAAATATTACAAGGTGTCACCAGAATTTTAGAAATAACAAAGTGGGTCATGACCCAAGATCGGCTGGGGACCATTGATCTAAAAGTAAAGACTAGTTATTTGAGGCATGCCTTTTTCTTTTTGTAAATTGTAGAATGAATTGTAAGACAAAGATATGTCTTCTTACCAGAATGTTCAACCTTTACAATGAGGTGATTCTGAGAGCATTATGACTGCCACGTTTCATTATTGTCGGCCACAATCTTAGCAACATGAGAAATACAGTTGCCCCAGTGTTTATAGCAGACAAAGAAATGAAACAACAGGAAATCCAAAAGAAAGCAGTAAAGAAAAACGAGAAGAAAGGACTATCTATTGTAATAAGACTGAATTTATATCAGATAAATGAACACTCTATAATGTGAATAACGAATTGGAGACAACAAAATCAGTCAAGTAATTTAAACGGGTGATTTGTTTTCAACGGCTTATCAACCATTTGCAGATTATTTAAAACCAGATATTTTAATTTTGTAAGGACTTTTTTGGAGATAATAACGGTTTAGTGATAAAATTCTTACTAATTAACCTATAGCTGGGTACGAAGAGGCGAATTCGTACTTTTCCCAAATGGTATTTGGGCGTCAGTTGATATAAGGAACGCAACTGGGATTGAAACTCGGCTCACCAATTTCCAATTCAAATACATTATACATTAAATCACCCGCACCTCCAAAATTACAGCACCTGATATTTACAAATGGTCACCCATCTAGATACTGACCAGTCTCGACGTTGCTTAACTTCGGTGATCGTACAGCAACCGGTGTTTCAACATGATGCGGCCGTTAACCTGTTTTAACAGGGGGACGGAATATCAACGCCGATATTCGAAGACACATTGAAATAGTTAAAGATAGCTTCCAAAATCTATGCAAAAATATAAGGAATCACGAAACCTTCGTTAGAAACAAAGAAACAAGTACATAACATTTGTACTCCTATATAGGAGAGAATGCGCGACAATCTCAGTATTGAAGCATCAAAAATGTAGTTCTACAGAAGGATGTTGAGTATATTATGGCTTAAACATGTGAACGACAACGAAGTTTTAGAAAAAAATGAACAGGGAAATTATTCTTAAAATTAGAAAGAATCTGTTTAACTTTTAGAGGACTCATAATGAGGAACGATGACCTGGAGAATATGACACTCACAGTAAATACTGAAAGTCATTCTGGGGATGACGATAAATTACATCCGGAATTAAGGCCTCTGATCAGGAAGGTTTGAGGAGCATGGAATCGCCTCTTAATTGCTGTTGTTCCACCCTGATCGAGGGCGGTAGTGTCCCAGCTGTTGGCAAATAAAGGACCCTCAAACTGGGGTCAAAACATGATAATATAAAAATAAATTCCCACAGGAAAATGAATTTTCGGCATTAAATGACCCATAAGGAGTTGATATGCCGTTAAACAAACCAAACATATTGAAGGCAACAGAGACAGAAGAAATCAGCGAATAACCTTTATAACGAGCTTGTATGAATGGTTCGTAGAAGAGTGATTAGGAGAGATAAAAATGACAAGCCTAAGTATTAGTTATAAAGGAGAGGATGTTGTGGAGAACCATGATCACCACGCCTTGAAGGGACACGGCATATTACATAAGAAGAAATGAAATATATATGTAAATCTATTTCAAGGCAGGCATTGAACGGTGTAGTTATGAGTTACTTAAGAGTTATAAAGGACAGGATGTTGTGGAGAACCATGATCTTCACGCCTTGAAGGGATATGGCACATCAAATATGAAGAAATGAAATATATATATGTAAATATGTATCAAGACAGGCATTGAACGGTATAACTATGAGTCATGTATAGGTTAATTACGCAGCCGAATATCCAGACCATCTTGTACACCATAAACACGTTTCAGTTTTCGAAACAAGAGAATAAAAATGTCCGATAATTTTGTTTTGCAATTTGGATGCATGCCTAACGTAATCAGTAGATTGTGTATCCATGGCAACTGGATGACTGCTTCGTTCTGGAGTCAAGTGTGCAAAATATGTTAACGTAAGAGAGTCGGATTAAATGCAGAATGTAACTTTGCATTGAAGATAGGTACCAAACATCAAATTGGTGTTCAGTAATTGAGAGTCCGTGTGTACGTGACCCGACCAGTGAAGAACGATGTCTAGAATGATAATGGTCACGAAAGTACACTCAGCAAATCAGAGACCTCTCTTGTCAGCCGACGTGCAATCGCGGTCAGGAGGACGCGTTATTATGCTCTACACCGCGTGAAATTTGCAGATATTAAAGTCTAAAGGCCAAACTTTTCCTTGCTTTCTCTCTCTCTCTCCTCTCTCTCTCCTCTCTCTCTCTCTCTCTCTTTCTCTTTCTCTCTGTCTCTCTCTCTCTCTGTTTTCTTCGACTAGGTTTTGGAATGTACGTGTTGTTCGACATAAACTTTACAAGATACGGAGATACAAGCCCTATGGAAACATTACGTTTGCGCACAGAATTTAACTAGATATTGAATAAAAATTATTCGCTTATGGAATAATAATTTCTATTTTTGTTTATCAGTCTTATTCTTTAAAAAAAAGAAAAAAAAAGAACAATTGAATTTTATTAAATTCTTAGGTGTCCATAAAGTCTGGACACAAGGTTAAAAATGGATATTTTCAAGAACTGAAAATTTCAATAACATTATATTGAATTGGAATATTAACAAATATTTTCAATATGATTTCCATCGTTAGTGATAAAAAGGTTGATGCACTTTGCAAGATTCACGTGAATTCAATGCAATAACAATATTGCGCATTCACTTTTTATGCATTTAATCAAGTGCGTTGCATCTGTGATTTTCATTGCGCACACCTCCTCGTTTAGTATAGACCAGAAAAAGAAGTCAATTATTCCTTCTGTCGACAAAACCATGTTTAATCTGTGAAGGTAAAAAAAGATAGTTGCTGAAATTTCCAAAAGTGTCCAAATTTTAGGAACTCACTGTATATTCGTTATATCTTGCAATAATGTTCCCAATTATCTGTCAACTCTTTGATACATTGTGAGTAAATTTACACAGGTTTTGTGTGGAAATGTTTTCTACGAACACTTGGATATGATGCTCATTAGAAACGTTTTTTTTTTCCACTGTCAAAGCGTTTTGCATCGATTGGAAAATATAACTGTCACAAATTTGTAAGGGTGGAATGTCTGCAGTAACAATGACAACGCAGTTTTGACTTAAGTCTTTCGTTCACCGAAGCGATCGCCAGCTCTTTTATTCATACATCAACAATATGGCCGACACGGTATTTCCGTGTCGGTACAATAACGGAAAAGTGTGCTTCCGTTTCCTTACTTCACGGTTTCAATTATAATAATCGGCTGGTGTGAGGTCAGATGAATGTAGCGGTTCGGTTCGAACGGACTAACCGTGTTCATCTGTGTTGTGTGTGTGTGTGTGTGTGTGTGTGTGTGTGTGTGTGTGTGTGTTATTATTTCATCATGAGGTATTGCTTTGCCAGGGAGACGAATATTTTGTTCAATAGATATGCACAGGACAGTTTTTGACAAAGCATTTATGTTCACTTTGCATATATTGGACGTTTCAATATCTATTCATTGTCCCATTGTGTTTTAATAAATTTAATGAATAATACCCCAACGATGCCACCAAAAGCACAACATTAAATTTCTTCTATGGAGAACAGCTCTCGTATTTGATTGTGGAGATCTATCCTTGTCACACGATTTTTGCATAAAACATTGTTATATGTAAACCACTTTTCATCGCTTCTCATGATTTATTTAAGAAATACTTAGGAAGATATATTGGATTTAGAACTGGTTAAAGCAAACAAAAAATACTGTAGAGTCGACGTAAAAACATTTAACGTACAAATATCTGTCGTTATATGTAGAATTCCATTGGAGCATATAGACACAACTTCACCACGCTAGACCTTGTTGATGTTGTTTCTGTAAGATGTAGACATTTTTAGAAGGTGGATGCTTACGGCCATATCATGTTGGAACACCTGTTCTCGAACGATTACCGGATTTAAGCAATGTCGTATCTGGTCAGTATGTAGATGTGTGACAGCTTACGAATACGATGTGCGGTAAGCTTGAATGTGCAGGTGGTGTAAATGGATAACAGCCTGAAAGGAATTGGAAATCGGAGAGCTAGATTATAATTCCAGTCATATTCTTTATATTCCCTAATGTGAAAGTAACTTTGGTAAAGTTATGAATTCACATTCCCTCTCCCAGATATGGGTTAATTATTATGCCTTGTATAAGAAAATCATTATTATCGCAGAAAACAAAAATTCTTATGTTATAACCTAGAAACAGGTACTGAATGAGGAATAGACAAAACGGAGGTTGGAAATGAAAGCGTAATCTTTATGACATCAACAAAATAAAATACTCACCAGCGACGTGAATTAGGTAAACTACTGATACTGGTGGATAACTTAGACAGCATATTATGATAGTTACCTGCCTTCCTACGAGGAAGAATGTGGCACAAGGCCAAATTTAATGTGGGGATCCGAGCCCATGGGCTCAGGCAAAAATTATTTTAAAAATATGACTCCACCGCGACACAAAAATTACTACGTTTCGAAACTTGACTTAAGCCATAGTGTTTAATTTTAATATTCTAATATATTGAATATCAATGAACATTAAATTTAATTTAAATAGTTTAATTTCACTATTCTAGTATATTGAATATTAATGAATATTAAAATTAAGCTTTAGGACTTGAAACATGTTTCGAAACAGTAATGTCTGTGTTGCGATGGAATCATTTTTTTTTTTTAAAAAGTAATTATAATTTAAGCTCTACTTCTGTATCGAGCACTGTTTTTTTAAAAAAAAAACATAAATACTAAAAAAACTTTGGATCATTAATATGTTCACACACACACACACACACACACACACATATATATATATATATATATATATATATATATATATATATATATATATATATATATATATATATAAGAAGGGTGTTACATTAACTCTGGGCCGATTTTAAATGTGAACTAAATTTAAGCGTCTATGAATTTTTCACTTTTTCTTTCAGATTTGGCGGACATTTGGGCGACATTATTTTTCACGCATAATTGGCATGACTGAAATACTATGATCAATAGAGGAATAAATAACACCACTAACAATAATTTATTTACACTGACTTTGATCCATCTTAATGAAATACCCTTATATATATATATATATATATATATATATATATATATATATATATATATATATATATAAAAAAGAACAGTATGATATATAATCCGGTGTTCTTATAGATAATTTTGTTTTACAAAATAGTTCTCAATGTTAAATTGCAGAGGATTAATATTATAAATTAATTGATTTAAAATAGGTTTTTTTTCGCTACACAGTTCTAACCATGTTTCAAAAATAGAAGCTGAAAGCTCCGAATTTAATTTGTAATTAAAGACATTAGTTCCATATATATATATCATTTCACCAGATTTCATACCAATTTCTAACCAGATTTTAGTTTTTGTTTTGGAATGATCTTACCTTGAATCCTGCTTCTGAAGACCCTTGGCAACATATATGTATGGCAGATGATTTGTTTGTAGAAATTTTTCAAATCCAGTAAGAAAATGTTTACTGACATAATCTTATTAATACGTATAATTGACCATTATCGCTAATGACTTTATGGTAGAAATGCACTGAAAAACAATACACAAGGTTAATGTTGAAGGAGTAAGATCATCGTTACTGAGAGAACATGAATGATACTGACGGAATATGGTTACTGT